GTCATGCAGACTACTAATTTAGCAACTTTTAAAGCATGAAGATTGCAGCTGGAGTTTTCACACACTCAGTTTTATTATAGGGGTTGAAAGAATAAGCACTAAAACTGGCGACTTCTTGTTACGTTATTCAATTCAACAGCTTCTGTGAAGCCGATGCTCCAGGAACTTAATTTTTTTGTATTCTAAAACGAATTTGAACATGGTTGAATAAAATTTTATTGAAAAGAATGATTAGCTTGATATTAGCTTACCTAATTCTAACAAACCATGCAGCTAATATGAATTACTAAGTTTCCATCAATAACTTTTCAAAAGCTATCAGATGTTGAATACTTTAAACAGCAGAAATGATAGCCATTTAGTTTAAACAGCTTGGATTACGTGTAAAGACATAACACGTGCAGCCAATACTACTAATACCTTGGTCAGCTTTGAAATTGGTAAATTTGTAAACTCCGTCTTGTGTAACTTGCTTGAACTGTAAACTTCCTAGCTACTAGTGAATATTTCTCAGCCCTTTCCTTGTAATCTTAATTTTCGAATCACTTACCTCCTGGTTACCAGCTCGGTGTTCTACCACCTGAGCTCCGAGGCCTTGCTGGTAACCGGGTTTAAATTTCACTTTAGTCACTTTGATTGAAACTCAGTTGATAGGTCACTGAGCCTTTTAGTCAAATATTGCTTCTTTGAATCCTGCCGTGGCCCAAATTTTACCTTTAATCAACATCCAGAATCAAGCCAAGTTTGCTAAACCACGTCTATCTCAGATAGCCGAATTGATAATTGTAAATTTATCGGATTTCTCCATTTTTTTCCTCATTCGTTTGTATAGTTTTATTTAGTGTTCTTATTAGATTATAGCTGTTAATCCCTTTATTTATCCACAGACGAAAGTTCGCCTATATTTCATTTCCCCTTTGTTTGTGTTAAACTTTATTCGCATAAATTTCATTATCGAAGAGAATTGAAATGAATTCATTGTAAGTGTTAACTATAAGTAATCAACACTGTGAAATTCATTGTCGTTCACAGTCATCTACTTCAAGTGACAGCTCTCTAATTTTGGTCATTTAGTATTACGTAAGATGTGTACATCATTATTTTGGAATGGATTTTAGAGATATTTTCTCTTTTCTAAAGAGAATTCGAGAGGTATTCACTACCAGTGACTGACTGTTATAATAAATCCCACATTTACTCAGTGATTAAACAGTGTGGATACACCACTGTAGAACCTGAAGAAGGGATTATTAAAGGAATATTCCTCATTCATCTAACTGTTTTTTGATTCATCTACCAGTCTATATGTAACAGTTTGTCGTTGATTGTTTATGAGTACATAATATCAATTGTAAATTTTATAGTAATGATGGGTAGTGGTTGGTAGTGGAATCCAGGACATATATTTCGTCCTATGTGGGACTCATCAGCTGGGTGTACCTACCGGCTCCCAGTGAGTGGTGTTGTTCCCACCAAGGCATCCGCACAGGAGCCCATATGCCAATAGAGATCGATCAGTTCGGTTCAATTAACGACGGTATAATACATGTAAATTTTATCTTACGAAAACAGTATTATGCTAGTCACTCGTGATAAATTTCCCCTTCCATAATTCTCGGAAAGCTAATTTGCCAGAAATTGCACACTGATATTTATCTAGTTATTCTAAATATAAGGTTATTTGAGTATTCATTCGAATGAAGTAAGATTAGAAATCTATATCATTTTCACATTTATTCAACATGCATAAAATATTAGTAAAACTCGTGAACTCATCGTCTTTTCACTCTTTAAGAACTAATACATTTTTTACATTTTCTAGACAGTTCTCCCACAGAAAAGCATCAATTAAGATTGAATTTGTTTCTTTCAAAGAAGTCATTAGGACGCATGCCATGAAAAAAATAAGTCCTTAAATTTACACATTTGGCGTTGATCATAAACTTGAAGGTGATTATGACTAGTTTAATATTCACTAAAAGCTTAAAAGCACCTGTTGTATACTTCGTTGGTTTTAAGAAGTCTCAAGAGGTATTCATGCAAGAAGTATACGGTTTTTGAAGGATATATCAATTGATAACTTTGTAAAACTCACGGTAACATTTTAAGTTCCTGTAGTTTTAAATGGCTTAAGGCTGTTGACTATAGTTCCCATACTATTTAGGCTTTGTCTTTGTTGGTATTGTTAGTCAGGATCTACGTCCAACTTTGGGAAACTCAGTTTTCTCCAGACTCAGGTATAGCAAACAGAATATTGTTAACAGTAGGAAGTAGACATTATGAAGTTGGCTACTGTCTAGAGACTAGTCAGATTGATTGATCCAGTTCCACTCAGTATTTGTTAAGGGTAGTGACGGTCCCCATCAGTGCAGGAAAGTGAGTTTCTGATTATTTGTAGGTATCCTTAACCGGAATGTTTTGACCAGGATGAGATCTGAGTCATACCCATCTTTCTGTGGATTGCCTCTAACACTTAAGCATCAAGTAGAGCATGTAGTGGTGACAGATCACTTAACCTAGTATAGTATAGTTTGGTTAAATAATATGCCTTTGGATGCTTGTTATAAATCAGTGGCTTTAGTTTAAGATCACCTTCTTCGTGACTCTGTTGAGTTTAGAATTGTTGCTCATCTAACTTTGATTGAGTAACTATAAAGTGAATATTGCACCTTCAAACACAAAAGTTCAGGAGTGTCAAAGCGAAATAAGACAATGGTCTATGAAGTCATATTTCTATCAAAATTTTTTGCAGACACCATTATGCACTGATATTTTTGCTGAATGGGAATGAACAGATGACACTGTCTCACATTATGTTCAGTTTGAATTTTAAAAATGTCGGTACCTAATGATGTCATGAAATAACCACAGACCATCGACATTCCGAGTACACATCAGTTAAACATATAACCACTGGACATTTTCATTATTCAAAATGTAAATTACGCTAGCTATGATATAAAGCTAATAAGTTGGTCAATGAACTGTCTAAATAGTATGTAGTAGTATTTACTTCAGAAGACGGTGCTGAGATCACACAATATCTAAAAGATACTTATCATCTGGTAGCAGTACGATATTTAATAACAGATTGTTAGTTTTAAGGTGTTTATACAGTAACAATACTACGCAGTAAAACTGAGACTGAAACTCATAAAGAGGACGATTATATTGGAAAGAACTACGAAACTTAATAATAATAATAATACCTTTATTCTAAACAATACGTATGATACAGTATGGAACTTTCAGCAAGTAATAAATAGTTCACCAAATTCATTCCCCTTATAATATCTTTAAGCGAAATAATCACTGCATTAGAGTGATGTTAATAAAAACAGTAATAAGAGCTCCAGTGTGAAATTGGCACTTGGTATTAACGTGTGGTTTGGACTGATGAATGAAAAGAAATTCAGGCGTATATTTGATGTTGGTAGTTTATTCAGCTAGTACCAAACTTCAAATTTCGATATAGTTATCCAAAGAATAGTAATGTACTATATTTCTGTACATTTAAAAGCCCACCTCTTACTAGCGTAACGTTTTTTTCTTTGTTTGGTCGTTAGCTTGAAAAGAGGCAGTTGGAACTATTTTAAAAGTGTGCAAGAGTACATAACCCGTCCATAAGACATACTTAAGAGATTTAAACAAATTAAAAGGGAAGAATTTGATGAGATATATTAGGCGGAAAATTTTCTGTAGGCCAAGCTTTAAGCGGGTAGTTTGTACAGAAGTAGCTATTAACCGAAATGTATTGCCGTGTCAAGCACTAAATTGTTATCATCCTGGACAAGTTTGTATGAATGGTCACGATGAAGAAGAAGATCCTACCACTTCTGAATACTTGTCTTTCAATAAAACAGAAGCTAGTTATTACTTTGATACTTGTAAATTCCGGCTACTATGCAGGGCCGAGTTGCTCAACCTCTGTTGGCGGATGGTCTCTTACGCGAACACCTCGGCAAACCACAAGTATCAAAACGACAACTAACACCCGGTACACAACAGGTGGTTATCGTGTTCCAGTGGCCTAGTGGGTAACGCCCTGGCGTTTGAATTGATGGGTACTCTGTTTGAGTCTCAGCTGGAACAACATCACTCACTGGGGCACAGGTATATTCGGCTGACGAGTCCTAAATAAGACGGGACGTGCGTCCACTGTTAGTCATCAAGATGAACAATAAGCAACAGTCAGTTGCATTTATCACCTGTCTAAGCCTTATGCGTACCTTTATCTTGCGAAAAAGATATGTCTTTCAATTTTTGAGGCCTATATTGATTGGTCACTGGAGGGTAACCAACTTAATATTGTCTAGTCTCATGTACTGGTCAAATTCTGGTGATCGTTTTGCCATATGGTCACCAGGCTAGATGACTCACTATCGCCATACACTGAGGTATGTTATTTAGATGGAACCTATCACCAGGAAGCCCTGGACCTAGATTTTGTGCTATTTGTCACTCATCAGCAATGCATCAAGGTTGCAGATGCACCTTGCTGACAAGTACTGAACAGCATGAAACCTAATTCCAGGGCTTCCAGTCAATAATCTCTATCTGACTGATATTTTGAAACCTGCTTGATGGCATCAAATTTTACCTGAAGTCACTGTGAACTGCATAAAACAACAGGTGGTATCAGTTAACTGAAATGATAAATAGACAAATATAACCCGTTAATCAGCATATGCTATCTATGCCGTCATCAAACAAGTAGTTGACAGCTTGATCTCACAGTTTAATTGATGGAGAGCCAGACTTCTGGACTTGGTGCTACTGGTTTGTATCCTGGAAAAATCAAAACATTTCTTCAGATGGGATCATTGGTTTTGCATTCATAAGTAGGTCTTCAAACCTAGACTGTCTCTACTTAAATATCCGGTTTTCGGATAATTTATATAAGGCACGGCTATTAATTTTAAATTTGATTTTGCCCAGCTTTAAGGTTTTTTTCCTGTTAGTAACTCTTTAATCTCATTATGCTGTTATTTTATTTCTAGGTCACTCGAAATGGAATAGCCCATAAATCTGGATTAGAACCTGGAGATGTAGTTGTAAAGATTTGTGCAACACCAGTCACTGGAATGACACATGCTCAAGTGAAAGCAGAAATCCTAAGGGCTGGAAATGACTTGGACTTCATGGTTAAAAAGTAAGTTCGTTTAAACCTTAATCGAAGGTGCAATACCGCCAATTCTTTGAGTAGCTCAGAACTACTGTACTCTGTATGATAACCACTAACGTGTTACTATTTTGAACATGGATGTAGGTAATCGTTGAATCTAGTTGACAGATTATTCCGACTGCTTATAAGGTTGAACAGTAATAGCATTAAGGAAATGAAGAGTGAGTGATTTTGAATAACTAGCCTAAAACCTTTTTCTAGTGTTTTGATATGGTTCGTGAACATTTCTTAAAACAAATTCTTTTGATAATAGTTAAAAACAATGTGAGTAGTTGAAAATTATTCATGTTGATCTATAATTAATCGAAAAACTGAAAGGCGATTTACCTAGTATTCCCCCAGGTTTATTGTTCGTTTAGCCATAGAAATTTCACTAACGACGATAAATCGTATACATCAACTGGATATGATTTCTTGATTTGAATAGACTGATATGTCATGAAACAAAAGAATAATTTTTAAATTATGCATAGATTTCAGGGTTTTAAATGGAATTCTTGACTAGCTAGTGATATACCCAGGTGATAAACTCAATTCTAGGCTAATGAAGCTACCGTGAAATGTCTAGATTACTTACGTTTATTTGACAAAATCTACAAATCATGACGATTCGTTTCAAAGTGTTGTTCCTTAGCTTATTCTGTTCGCCCTTGCAATTTTATTCAAAGATGGCAATCTGTAACCTTAGCTGGGAGCTACTTGGCACTCAATAGAATTCCTACTGCTGTGGTGGCCAGTAGTTAAGACGCCACTTAGCTATGAAAATATAATTTATGCCGTTTTTCAATACCGTTCAGATAGTCCACACTCATTTTTGGACCTCATTCGTAACATTGGCTATACACATTCGTGATTAGTAAAGTCGTTAACTAATTTTTTAACAGTCAAATGTAAAAAATACCTTTTGAACATCTTGGATGATTTATTTATCAACCTCTTGAAAGTATTCAGTTTAAATAGCACAAACTGGTGAACGCTGCATATCCCAGTTACCCTGCTAAATGAATCAGTGGATTTTTCATAAGTAAGTCTATACAAAAACCTCGCCTGGTTAACTAGTTGACTAGTTACTAGTCGGTCCTAAGCCCGGGTAAAGAGGGAACGTTGGCCATACGGATAGCAAACCTACCCCAGAAAACAAATCCAACCACTAAACAAACTTCAAAGCACAAACAAAATATAAAAAATAATAACAAAATTATTCCTCACTGGAATCGGAGAGGCGAAATGACGCCCAATGGTGAAAGCCTTCAGAAAGCCAATTAGCCGATGGATCTTCTCATCTCTCGATGAAAGCCAAAGTAAATGTGGCGACATGGAATGTCCGAACAATGTTTGAAGCTTCCTGACAAGGCTGCCCAGATTGCAAACGAGATGAGAAGGTGTCGCAGTGAAGTGTTAGGCTGGGAATCTGCGAAAGCAGATGGAATGGGAGTGGACTCTCCAAAGTGTCATCTGGAGAGTCAATGACCTACTCCGACACTGTCACCCAGACGACAAACACGAGCACACTGAGTTTTTGAGTGGCTATCATGATGTCCCCTTGAAGAGCATCGAGGTCTGTCTCTCATACAGTGGGAACCAATCTCCTCCACTATCAGGATAATGACAGCGAGATTCAACTCGAAAGGAAGGAAGGAAGGTCACAATGATTCACTGCTACGCTGTGCACCTACAAATAATGCAGAGCAAGAGAAGGAGGAGGAATTCTACAGACAACTACAATCAACACTGGACAAGTCCCACCCCAGTTGGCGACATCAAAATTCTAATGGTTGGGGTGACATGAATGCCAAACTGGAAGTGGACAACACAGGAAGAGAAAACTGATCATGGGTTGAGAAGCACTCGGTGAGGTGATGAACGAGAATGGAGAATTGTTTGCAGAATTGTGTGCATTCAACGATCTGGTGATTGGAGTCAGGCACTGTGTTCAAGCACAAGGATATCCACAAAGTGAGCCACATGGATTTCATCAGATGATACCAGACACACTAAAAATCAGATCGACTTCATCTTGATGTGAAGAAAGTGGAGACGCAGCCTACTCGACACAAGGTCAGGGAGGGGAGTAGATGTAAGTGTTAAGTGGTTCACACCACTCACTATCTAGTGCAAGCAACCTTCCAAATCAAGTTGGAAGCCGAAATCAGAGAAGTTGGTGATAGATGACCACAGTTGAAGTTGAACACCCAGAAGAGAAAGTGAACTGAAGCACGAAACTACAAAGAAAATCTTCATGTCAGTCAGCCATCAAGACGAGATGGGAGATATCGAGCAACATGCTTGAATAAACCTGTGTGGATGAACACTGGAACTGTTTGGAAGCTATGTGGAAATAAACCTGTCTAACCGTATTAGGAAGGGAGAAGAAAGAAGATGAGGAATGGAGTGGATGTTGATGGATACATGGAAGCTGATTGAGCAGGGAGAGGAGGGTGGTGAAGCAGAAGATGAACGAGTGCAATGCAAGGATGAACGAGGAGGAGAGGGACTGAGTACAATGTATGAAACACTACACTGGAAGAAGGTGTGAAGAAGAGTGCGCGGAAAGACAAAAGACACTTCTACGACACAGTTGTAAGTGAAGCTGAACAGGCTGGCGGCTGGTAGGAGAGACAGAGATCTGACAACATTGTATCAAATAAGCAGGTTACTCTGTGGGATGGGAGAGATCAACACAGATGAAACCAATGGAGGATGATGAAGGAAATGTGATTATCAGAGAAGAGAAACAAAGGAAACGATGTGTTGACCACTTGAAGAAGCTCTTGAATCGACCAGCACCAACACTACCAGCACCACCAGCACCTGCACCTGCACTTCGTCCACAAATACCACCTGCAGCCCAGTCACAGAACTACAAGTGAACACAAATCCCCCAACAAAAGTCGAGGTCCTGAGTTCCATAAAGCTACTGAAATGCGGGAAAGCAGTAGGACCAGATGGCATTCCACCAGGAGCACTGAGAACAGACGCAGGTACAACAACGCACATGCTCACACCACACCTCTATTGCAGAAGGTGTGGAAGGAAGTGAAGGTAGCTGTCTATTGATTGGAAGAAGGATTACCTCATCAAACTCCGAAAGGAGGGCAACCTAAGTGCTTGCAAGAACTGGCGCCGAATCACTCTCCTGTCCATCCACAGCAAGCAAACTATTAAGCCACATCATCCTGGAGAGACTAAACAATGCCCTGCATTCAAAACTACAAGCAGAACAAGGCAGCTGGCTGGCTGACTGGCTGGATTCAGGAAGTACAAATCATGTGTAGAACAAATTGCAACGCTTCGCATCATCATAGAACAGAGTATAGAATAGCAGTCCACTCTACCTCTACCTCACTCAACTTCATCGACTTTGAGAAGGCCTTCGACAGCGTCGACCAACAAGTAATTTGGCAGCTGCTTGCTTCAACACTACGGAATACCACAAACCTTTATCAATCTCATTCAACAACTATATGAAGACGCCACATGCCAAGTAACTGACAATGGGAAGCTCAGTGATGCCTTTGCAGCGAAGTGAAGACAGGAGTAAGATAGTGTCGTCTACTATCACCCATGATATTCCTGATAGTGGTCGACTGGATCATGCAGCAAACAGTGAGGAGCTGTGAGAAGAGGGAGATACACTGGCTGGACCACGGAAAACATCTTAGAAGATTTGGATTTTGCCGAACACTTGTGTCTGGTGTCACACAAACTTGAAGGTCTACAGGCGAAAACTAACAAGTTTGCAGAAGAGGTGAGGCAGAGCAGCGAAGATGGGACTTCAAGTGAATATAGAGAAGACAGAGGTGATGAAGATGCCCAACCAACAACAACAAGCTCCAATCATCATCAATGGGAGAAACTTGAAGGAAGTAACCTCCTTCACCTACACCTATCTAGGCAGCACTGTTTCAACTACAGGCAGCACAGACACAGACACAGACGAGGACGTCAAAGCCAGTGAGGATCGGAAAGACAGCAAGACAGGCGTTCATTAATCTGAAACCAGTGTGGAGATATACTGCACTGTACTCAGCATGTGGAACAAGATCCGAATTTTCAACACTAATGTCAGTGAAGTCAGTGTTTCTGTATGGCTCAGAGACTTGGCGCGTTACGAAGTGGATTTCCAACAAGCTGCAGACATTCATCAACAACTGCCTACGCCGGCTGAATACTAAAGATCAGAATGGCAGAATGATAGGAATAAGCAAGAAGGAGCTGTGGTCTGAGAACGAGCCAACGAAGCAAGAATCTATCGCTGAACAAATATGCAGAGGAAGGAAGTGGAGATGGATTGGACTGGGCATACACTGAGAAAGCCGACTGGGGACATAACGCGACAGGCCTTCGAGTGAAACTTAGATGGGAAGCGACGAGTTGGGCTTCTGAGGTGAGGATGACATGGAGGAGATCGTTGGGAGGAGGAAGTGAGAGGTTGTGGGCTGTCGTGGAGCCAGGTTGAAAAGATTTCAGAGAACGGAGTGCACTGGAGACGTGCAACTGAATCCCTATATTCCATTAGGAACCCAAGGGAGAAATAATAATGAGTAAATACAAAAGATTGTAGCTAAATATTCCGCTTTGAGTTAAACAAACATTTTAGGTTGACTTTTATTTTATTGTTTATTCCATCTTCTGCATTACAAAATTACCTAGCAACTCATTAACTTATCACTGTTATCTTCAAATAATTTCAATAACTCTCAAAAGTATCAATAGATATAATGTATACCTGAAAGTTTTATTATACCTATTCAGACATAGACATCTTGAAACATTTCTGTTTTTTTGAAGAGGAAGTTTAGAACATTGCTGAAAAATTGTTACTTAGTTATAAATAATGTTGACATTTAATGACAGAGGACTATAATACGTCCTATAAAAGGAAAATGTAGTTTTTCGTTGGTTACTGTATAGCAGTATGAGTTAGGAATATAACTGAAATAAAAAGGAGTAAAATATTTGACAGGACGGATAAAGTAACCTTTGTAAACTGTATCTAAGTGTTCGCTAAAACTTAAAAAGTTGGAAGGGTGAAATAAATTGTGTTACATATGAAGAAACATAATAGCTGACAGGATAACAAAAGTAGAATGACTTTGGTCAAAGATGATTATAACTGCATACAGGAAACTTTCATGATAAATGGTGTATGAAGGAATTGAATTTACATAACACTAAGTGGAGAATAAGTTCACGTTTTAACCACCGGAATAAGCGATATTTCAGTTGTAAAACTGGATGATTATCTCGTAAATGCGCTTGTTCATCAGTCACTGAAACAAATGTTGATGGTAAAAGCAGTTGGTTCAGTTTATTGTAGCGTAATATGTAACAAATTTTATCATCAGTTACCAACTTAAAGGTGTAATTACAAACTCAGTATGTGTTGACACATATCAAAGCGCCTATAGTCATAGTTGGAACTTTGACTGAACCGTTAGATGCATCCTTAAATCAAAGGATATATTTGCTGAAGTTCAATCCATACCAGCTGTAAAAACATCGTAGTCACAGTCACGGTCGATTTGTTAATACAACGAGAAAGCTGACTGATTGATGAAACTTTAGTTTGATACACATTTTCTTTCATAATAAGTATTTGAAAATCACGAATACAGTATACTTCATAAAGATCATAATACTTGTTGACTTTACTAGGTTTATTGATCTACTTAGTCACAAGATAGACTAAAATGACATAATTATATCATTTATGAAAACCAGCTGTTCAAATGACCTGTTCCTGTCTAATGTCAGAAAACTAAACGTATCGTTATATCCACATTCCAACAAGTACCCTAGTTGTACTCTTCCTGCAGTATCTTTTGATATCAAACTCTTCAACTATGAAGGTATAAGTAATAATGTACCGTATATAGTGATTAACTTTGTGGATGGCCAAATAACAATCTAGACACATCTAATGAACAACCATGGAGATAGTGGCACGTCATATGAGCAATTTCATGATTAGCTAGAAAGTATTCAAAACAATAACTGCTTATCAGTGAAATATGGTATTTCCAGGACTACAGTCAACCTTGACTTATGGTACCATCTTTTGATCAGGTAATAAGTCGCTTTATTTTGGAGTTTTACTCAGATATTGTTTAGCTTCTCTCACATGGAACAAACTCATCTGAAATCCAAGTGTTGGATTAATGAGGCACCTTGTTCACTCCTGATCTAACATAAAATATGTAAAACTGTCTACTGTGTTATGCTTAACTCAAACATTGTGAATCAGGCTTTAGTAGTTTAAAAATTGAGGTTAAATTTGTGTTTCTTCGCTCATGAAGTGAACACAGAATTCTCGAGAGTCAGCGACACCAAATACGCCAGTTTAAGTCTTCAATTCAACACATGGATGATGTTATCTCTAAATACTAGGTGAGTATATAAAAATGTACACATATGTATATCAGTTGCACAACTATGACATCCCCGAAATTAACCCTAAAGGATAAAGTTTTGTTTCTCAGGAGGATAACAGGCTTCATAGAGTATTTAAAATACTTCTCCTAATGATTACTGGAAAGCATGTTCTATTGGTAATAAAGTTTTGTCAACCGTGTCAAAAAACAGCAGACTAAGTTAGTCATTTATTAACCTTATTAGTCACATTGCATTTCCCGGTCAATATACTTTTCAAGTCAGTGCGAAGTGAATCGTCATTTCAATGAATGATTTTATTTGCCTATTGACTTTCTCAGTGTTGCCATACTAAACAAATTGCTCTTTTTGTACACGATACATTCTGGGTAGGAAAATTATTTTCTTTTAAAAATTGGGTGTACTAACCTTTTCTAGGATTATTTATTTTCCTAGATTAAAACCTTATCAACAGATTGACTTACACAGGTATCATCACTTATATACAAGATATTGAATGACTTTTATTTGGTATGCTGTACTCGGGAAACATTCATGACTTCAGAAGTCATTCATCCTATTTTTGTAACTATATGTGGTGGGGTATGAGATCGTTTCTGTATCCAAAGGTAACTCTGATTCATTATGTTTTTATTTTAATGGGGTTTAGCTCTTATTTTTCTTTAATAGACACTGTCTGCTAACGCTACTTATTGAATTAAGGTACTTTACCTACATACACATTCATATACCTATCCAGTATCAACAGACAAGCGCAGGAATGTATACCCCTAGTATTCAATTCACATTAAATTTCATCAATGGTCTCCATCTTATTTATTTCTAAATGTTCATTTTTGTTTAGACGTGACTTTAATGTGGTTCAGTACAACCAGACAATGCAACAGATAGCTGCAGCTAATAAACCAGTTGAACAAGCCTCTGGATCACCTGAACCACGTGCTGAAATAGTTGAAGAACATTTATGGAGACATGGTGGTCCAACATTCAAAAATGTCCAACCAAAATCATATAAAATCCTTGAACAACAGTTGCCTCAATCGAATATGGGAGGTAAGTATGCGTATGTATGATGGAAACAACTTTGTGAAAGTTGCTCACCTCAACTTATTCCAGCGACAGAAACAAGGTTTGGTCCTAAATGTGACTGCTTGGTTTAATCCCTGATACTGACTGACTTACTATCAATCCAATTTTGAAGTTATCATCATGTATAGCCGCCTAATAACTAACTATTTTATTCCACCCTTACACTTCAAACATTCTCATTGCTCTGTAATGGATTAAAGGTTTCAGACTTTTAATTATAATGATCTTTATTCGTTTCAATAGTTGCCTATTAGTGGTTTGTAAGTAGATGAAAAGAAGGCGCCGAAATGTTTTGTACATTGCAATATTTTCCTCCTTGCGCCATTCATGTTTATAAAGGGAACCAATTGTACGAAAGTGAATAAAAGGATTATATAAAATTAGGTAAAACAGGAAATATAAACAACGCTATTATGTTACGTCGTCGGCAGTTAGATAAAAAAAGTAGTCATATATAACATTCCTTCAAAACAAGCAACAAAGTTTTCAAAAAGGAATAAGTTAGTAGGGGAAGTTTAAAAAGGTTATGGAATATTTTTTCGATTGCTGAGGATAATTCTCTTTGTAACCGGTGTATACTACCTATGATGAAATAAAGACATATGATAAAAAGGCAATACTGTTTCATCCGTAGTCTTCACCTATTCAGACAAATCCAACTTATGTAAGGTCGATTATCAAATGTGTACTTTACAGAACATCTAAGTGGGTCAATATTATGGTCAGCAAACAGGTTTATAAGTTCATCTTTGTGTAACTTTCGCGCATACTTACAAGCACTACTCATCATACGATACCTCGACTAATTAGAGGATGCTAAAAATCGATGGTCCACTGAATAAGTATCTGTTTCGCACTAGATCTAGTCGTTTGAAAAAAATTCATTCAAATTCTAAATTCTACTTCAAAAGTTATCATAACTCACTTGATATAAACCTATATGATGCTATAAGCATTATAAATAACATTAGTTTGAAAGAGGGAAATCACAGGTTTATTTGACACCTAGTGTGCTGTTGTCAGTAGTTCATCTCGTGAAGGCAGCTGTGGCTCAATGGTTTAGAGAGATGACACAAGTCTGGCCCCTGCTCCACCTACCGAGGTTTGGGCAGGCAGGTAGAACCACTAGCCCTCACAAAATAGGTGTGCCTCGTTGCCTGCTGCACGGATGCGCACAGGGTAACTGGGTATGTCTGCTTCATTTTACTCATCCCATGAAGCATATAACTTTGTATAATCACTAGCATGCGAATTAAAAGTTAATTGTCATTAGTTGTAGAATTCAGTGAAGAATTTTTATGTTTGAAAACATAATGTATCAAGCTGAATCTTGATGATAAACAAGTCAATGATATTTCACAAGGAACCTCTTGACTATACTACTAATATTTCATTTAGAAAGGCTAGTGTAAGGCAAAACGAATAGTAAAGTTCATTTCCCTTTATATGAATAGGTTTTAAAAATTTGAGTATCATCCCAAACTGAAATAAGTGATTCAAGGCTTTCATTCAAAACTAATTTTGTAGATAAAATAACTTGTAGCTAGTACAACAGGCAGCATTTTTCATTCTGATTACCAAATTATGAATACTAGTTAGCGGGGAACTAGAGTACTATGCAAAAGACCAAATTAGTGTGTGCATAGAACACTGGTTATCAAAAAAACACACTTAAATGTGTTCGTCATGGAAGGCAATTCTGACAGTTTTTCTGTTCATACGTATAGCAGGAATTGCCTTTGCTATTCCTGTTTATGTAGTCACTATTGTTTGTTGTTAAAATTCCCGCTTTAGTTATAGCAAGCAATTACAGTTCAAATCCATCAGGTAATGTTTATGTATTTGAATCATTTTCTCTTCATTAGATAGGCTCGGCTGTTTTAAATCTGCTTACTGCAAAATATGGCAGAACTTTATTTATTATTCTGTAATAAGCTTTATAACTGAGGTGGCTTACTAAGTGCTTCAGATCTGAATTTTAACGTGACTCCTACTAAACCAATTGATGTGTATAATAACGAAAGGTGCATTAAAGTTTTGCTTCCCAGTTATATTCACATTATGAAGTTGACGAAAATTATCTAACCTGCTCTGCATGCCAAGCTTATGATCTCAACTGATAGTAATATTCCAACTTTATTATTGCAATATAGCAACAAATTTGGTAGCCTAGTGGATAATGCTGCGGTAGTTGAAGCGATAGTCAGTGTAATCTAGTCTCAATGGAAATAATACGACTCACTGGGAGGTCGTTACATCCAGCTGACAGGTCTGAAATAGGACAACGAAACATACGTCATGAATCTGATTGCTAGGTACTATCCATCAGTGGTTTTTTAACTTTACTCGATTAATGAAATTTCTGATCTCGTTAGTGAAAAAATAAACAAAGAAAATTCCTGTATGTACAACGTTACACAAGTTAGGTGTACAAATGAGTCATCTTACCTTATCAAATATCTACTAGTCTTCGGTTTGCCCTACACCTGAATATGAAATCATTTAACTACATACTTAAGAACAAATTTGTAAAAAGTTATCTCAAAATGGAAGATGAAATCGGAAAGACGACTCAAAGCTTAACTGTGATCAGATTTCAATCCCCCTCCAACTCTGAATTCCTAAGACATTTCATCATAATCTTGATTGAGCACAACTATGGTTTGTAAGCAGTGAGGCTAGTATAAAATAAAAAAATACAAAGCAACGCCTAGTTACCTTCCTTTGAACGATTTCTGCATGATACTTTGGTTGCATGTTATAACTACTATGCTTGCTTGTATCAAGAATAGCTTATTAAACTTTAATGAAATAGCGAAATGGATTATTATTTATAATTCGTTAATCTGCTTATAAATAGAGGGTAATTCAAACAACATAGCTCGTTTTATTATGAGATATTAGAATTTCAAATATTGAATGCAAGCGGTGATTATAAGTGGTGTTTTTAAATGGGTTTTTTCGAAGTTTCTAATTATGACAAAAAAAAACTACTGAACAGTTAGACTAATAATATTGATCTACTGATAAGATGTTTTAGCATGATTTATGTAAAATTCAAGTCAAATAACTTACTAGGCTTTACTTGTTATCCTAAAGTTTATGTGATAAAATAATCGATGTTTTGCTTACTTTATTTTCAAGGTCCTTCACCAGGTTCCGTATTCGATCGCAGTTTAGACGAACGATCGCCTTATTTACAGGCTACAGAGAAAAGTATCCAAAAGGCGTATGGAGAATCCTAAATACAATCTGCAAGTTAGCACCTGGAGATATTCATGTGAACTAGCATACATATAAATATATGAAGACAAACTTTTTCGTAATAACCTCGATTAATCCTGCAATGCCACAATAACCTTTCTTTATCATACGTCCGTTCATTCGCTTGATGTAATTAGATATCAAACCTCCTATTTATATACACGTGTATTGTTATCGATGTCGTACTAAAGGTATTACATAATTTTAAAAACCTTTCACTGTTACCTCTCCACTCACTATTACAGCATCTTATCTAGTTAACGAGGATAAGCAGTCCATATTTTGTAAGACAAATACACTTTCGAATACAAATTGGCATGTGCGTCTGCATACTCACAAACGATTGATTTTTGCCTCAGTTACTTGCACTGACTTCCTTTTCTTCTTTTCCCCTTCTAAATTATCAAAGTATAAACAGCTAAACAGATTTCTTTTTCTTGAAATAAGCACTTCATTTACCAGATGTAGCTTCTTTTTCTCTTTTTATAATCAATTTTATTGATATTTCAGATACAAAAAGGTGATAAAAAAGACAGAATGGGTTGAATATGCTACGTGTATAGTATAACAGTGTTTTAGAGAAGTCACCTCTACCAACATTCATTGTCATCATGGGCAGTTACTTGGATATCTAACTAATAATAACAAAGTAATTTTTTGAACTTATGATGTTTCCTCTGCTACTAGAAATAAATCTCTGGATTTTACGAAAAATAGTCTTTTATAGGATAAGCCCTCATTTATCAGTCAGATATACCTTTTAATGAGGAAGAAACGAAACAGTGCTTGGCCTCCTGATCACAACTTGCTGAAGACTTAACAAACCTGTCGCTTAGAGTCTGATGAGACAAACAGTCTTCGGTAATTTCATTTACCAAATGAAGATGTTTCTTATCCGTAAGCACCTAAATGATTGATCTAAGGTCATAATAGTAAGACCCACAGTTTAAAACCCATCTCACATTTATTTTTTCAAGCTTTTGTTTTCTGTTCTCAACAATTTACAAACTTTCGATGGCTGTATGCTCACTGTATTCTCCCTCTATCAACATTCTTTTGTTTTGTCTCAAATGAAATGCTTACCATCGACCTTGAAGGGAAAGCATTTATACTTTGAAGGTTTGTGGAGTGCCCACTTCTCAGGAGTCCCATGCTAGGAAGGAACAGTTGTCCAATCCTCCTAGGTTTTTAGTGGCTCTCCAGCTGATGTCAGTCCATGATAAATACTAACTTGAAAGTATTCGTCTTTGATATTACATCTTCTGGTCGATTTCCTGGGTGCTTTTTTAACTGTCCTCCAATTAGTGAGCTATCCAACTCATTACTTCATGTTATCTACTGTTCTCAAGCTATCTGAGAAACAGATCAACAGCGACCAGGGTATTAAGGAGTGTGAAGATGCTTTGAGAATCTAGTGGTCATATTAGACTTAGATACGCTTACTGCAGTAATACTCAGTAGTACTACGCCCACATAAACCAACAATAGCAGTCTTGTACACTTCTTATACTTCGTGGGTATATCTGAACTTTCAGTTAATTCTTCAGTGAATCTAGCTCATTTATGCAATTATCTCATTGTATTCTCAAAATTTCTAATGGCTTGAAATATTGTCAATATATCATTTTTACGTTAAGCAAACTTATCACAGTAAAATTTGTCTCATAGTGATATTTACATGAGTAGTTTTACTAGCTGGTACCCATGTATAGTAAGCTTTTTAAAGTCACAAAACAAGATTTACAAAATCAGCTCCTCATTATGTAGCTAAACGCTTACAGAACAAAATAGAACCTAGATCAATTGTTATTGAGTTGAAGTTGTCATAAATTGCATCGACGATGTAATAAGCAAGTTAAATTAAAGAGGTGTAGTCATGAAGTCGCATCAACAGTAGGAAAAGTTAAAGTCAGGAATTCCAATAATATGTCATGGTACTTAATTCGTTATATCCTGTAGAGAATGTGGATATACTTATCAGATTGAAAGCCTACAGTTACCAACTTTAACAAACTGATATACCCTGATTATAAAATTCATAGATCATTTCCTAAATCAGATTAGCCATCACACTTTAAAAACTGATTTTAATTCATGACCTAGCTAAATGCAGCTCCCTTCTGGTCGACTTCTATTGTATCCAAGGTGAAAAACTAGATCAGGTGCTAGCTCACTTGTAATATACGTACATGCCACCTTGAATGACAAGAATATGTGCTGTTACCAATTAGTTTTCATGTTCTGTCAAGTACTATGAATATAATTCCAACTTCATTCAGGCCACCAGGAATAAAAACCTGTCAGATCATAGCCCCAGTATCCGGCTACCATAGTTGTTCCTCTTCACTAGGACTTTGAAAAAACTTACTTCTTACCTTGTAACTTTCAGTAGAACTTTAGTGCAATGTTATGACTATAAAAACTTTTTATGACACGTCTGCGTATCCTCCTTTCTCTGTTTGATTGATTGTTTGTTCAAGCAAATCATGTAAAGGGAAGTTTATTTACTTGCAAAATAGTAAAATCACCTAACAGATAAGCCATAGTAATTTGTGAGCTACTCAATATAATCTGTATATATTTTATTATGCCTATACTCCAGCGGGTAATGAGTGCATTCATAAACAATGCTTTCACAACCCCACCACATATTTCCGCGGTTTCGGAGATACAAACAATCTGTCAACAAAATCACGTGACAATAGCGTGTAAGTCATCAATATAGCGAAGTGGTTTCAGATAGAAAGCAGAGGCTAAATATTGGGAATGTGGTTCTCGATACAGTGGGCATTTCAGGGAATTAGAGTACAAGCAGCACGTTTTACCGGAAGCCATGAGAAGTAATTAAACAAAAATGGTTGTTATCCAATAGGGAACTTAGGTCGATCAGATTCCGTAGATGAGAAAAAGCTAGTTCATACCCTGAAATCGGATCTTTTCTAAACTACAGATGATAGCTGTGTAATATATGGTTGAGGACAAACGCGAAGTTAAAAGGAAGAAGCTAGAAGACATGCTGACAATTAAGGACGCAAAAAGTAGTCAAGAGTTAGCGGTGGTGTACCACTTTTTGAGACAAAGTGTAAAACAGAACTGTCTGAGGGTAGTGTGACACAAGCCTTGACAACAAGCGGTACAAGTCATTACTGTCAAAGATCAGAAACAGTCTGGATTATTATTGAACCTCAGTGTAGTGATTTTTTTTATTTTCTGCTACAGCTCTAACTTTTGCAACCAGTTGTGTGACCCCTTTAGGTGGGAATACTTCCACTTTGTTAAGAGTACACAACCTTCGCCTATAACTATCATCGGTTTTTCATACAGGTTAGTACTTTTGCATAACAGAATATTTCGTTTACTGTATGTAGCTTAGTTGGTATTAGTTATAGGTTGTATTATAATTATAAAGTACAGTGCATAAATAATCGTATCAATACTGTTTTCTTATCCTGAGGGTATATTTAGGCTACACGTAGCCTCAGGAAACCAAAAGTACTGTAAAGAAAGAATGTGGTGATCTAATTTAATCGAGTGGAAACCTGTGGTGGTCTACCAGTTACATGCTGACCAGAATACATTTATTTCTGTCTTTATATATGCGACTTCTGAAACCTTTCAAATGAAATGGAAGCGTATCCAGATATTTCCCTTTATGTTATCAACTTCTGTTGACTGAATTTTTTTAATCATCTAAGCAGCGTCGATATGTATCATGATAAGGGCAGGAATAGAAATGTGTCAAGGTTACGCCCATTATAGGCTCATTGAATGTGTAATTTTGTTTGAATAATAACTTCTAGCATGAAGTTATAATTATTTCATTTATTCTGAGTTCGATAGGAAAGAAAGCTTCATGAGTTTTATCATCTAGATGTATATGATTCTTAAGATTACATATGGGACTGAACTGCTGTCTTACTATTTATGCTTATAGGAGAAGCGTTTAACTAGTGAACGTCATCTTTAGATGAGCTAATGTATTAGGTAATGTGTTATCTGCACCTGGATTTTCTGTAGTATGTCTAGACAGCACGTTAAATGCCAAGGCATTTTGTATGCAATAATCATCCTTGACAACTTCTTTGAAGAATGATTCGGTTGTTTTTAGGTTGCTAATGCATTATAGTCTTGGTTACCAGAAAGTCTAGCTATATACCGTAGTGCCCAGAGGTCGTAAAATATTTGGATGACTTCTGTAGTCCTGTTTGACTTGCTTAAAGTATCTTTGGTGCCTAGAACCAGAGGACAGCTATTACCTAGCATACTGATTAAAAGAGAACACTCGGTGTACTTCATGCTGAATAGGTTCCTGGAATACTTCTCTATCAAGTAGACATTCAGTTTAGTGAATGAGGTTTTGTAATGCTACTAAAGTCTAAGCAGTCATTTAGTTACTGGACGTTATATCACTCTATATTCTGCTAAACTTCAAAAAGCATAGATGATAAGGATCAACTTCCCTTACGGAAACCAAATTCTGTGCACTATAGCTTCCTGATGGTCTGTTGGGAGCGATAATAATAGTTGGTATTCTTCTTAGTAGGACACCATAAAAGGCAAAGGCTTGTATATAATTTGTGTTAGTAAAAGCAAATCGTCGAGTTATCATGATAAGTTAAGATCAGTCTTACTGAGAATAGGATATTTTATACAACTGTGGGGTGCAATAGGTTACTAACATATAATTCAAATTAGTTAGGGCAGAATAATTTGTAGACGAATCGGCGTTTAAGGAAGAATAATGCATAAATGGACAGAAGTACTCTGAACACAGTTAAGGTGAAACTCAAGATGGTTTAAGACAACTGACTACGTGATGAGACTTCAGCCGAATAACTTGGAAAAGTTCCGCTTCTTCTGTGTATCATAATTAAATATGTCACATCTTTCACCGAAAATCCAGAAGACAGGAGTTGGACATTCTATCACTCATGCACTTAAAGACTACAAAAAGTTAATGTCATTCGTCTACATGTTGAAA